TACTCCCTTTAAGGAATATTAAAAATCTATGCAACAACTTGTCTAGGTGTCCCCCTACACCTTCCATACACTGGTGCTTTGGGCACCTCAGGGGACAGATCCTGCTGGTTCAAGGTACTAGGTAAGCCCACACTGTTGGAAATCTCACTAAGGAGCCACCCCCCACCAATGGGATTACTTCAACTCTTCAGCCAGTTGACACTATTAGCTCAAAACAAAGACATTTATTTAAACCACAGCCATGAAACATCTCCATTGTAAACCCAGAGCATACTCTGCTAAATATACACAGGGTTAGTAGGAAAAATGAGCACACATATAGAGCACACTATACACCAGGAGGTAACGCATCTGGCCAAGGCATTTCACACTGCTGGCACCGAGGGCTGCTCAATGTCTTCTGAAGTCTTGTCTCAATGGGTCACCTACTTACTCCTCTCATTAGGTAGAGTATCTCTGCATGGTTGTAACTGTACTGAGTTCCCTGGACCTGGTCTTCTCTGAAGCTTGACTCAACTCTACAGCTAGACTCCCTAGACCTGTTCTTTGTAGGGCATGGTACCTCATGCGGGTGCTGGATTCTAGAATGGGTACAATGGAAAAGCTGAAGAGGCATTCCTTCTCAATAATTGGTTCTTCCTCCATTGCTATCTCTTTTCTTGATTGCCAAAGGTGAGGAAGACCCGAGTTCAAATCTGACCTTAGACACTTACTAGCTGCATGACCTTGGACAAGTCACTTAACCTCTGTTTCCTTAACCATGAAGTAAGGATGGTAATAATACTACCTGCCTTCCAGGGTTGTTGTGAAGATCAAATGAGATAATATTTGTGAAGTGCTTCGAACAGGGCCTGGCAGGTTGTAGTTGCTTAATGAGTGCTTATATACAGATTTGACAGGCTTGTCTTTAAAACCACATTAGGTGCGTGGCTGATCACTCGGCCACACAATGACTAATTGCCTAGTAAATCAAGTTTACTAAAGAAACTACTTTACTCTTCCCAAAGGAGCAAAGAAGCTCAAATACTGCTTTAACACTTCATTTGAATCTTCTTTACATTTGATTTAATCCAATAAACATTTATTAAATGTCCACTGTGTACAGAATAATTTGCTAGGTATTGGGAAAAGATATAAAAGTTAGGTTAAGACTTCATAGAATTTTCAGGATAGTAGATTATAGGTAAGACACACACACACAGACACACACACAGAGACATGCACAGACATACACTTCAACTTCAATGCATCTTTTATCTCTTTAATGTGGTGACTATACCCTCCTTCAGTATAGATCACAGCCCATCTACATTTATCTATCAATAACTATAATGTAAAATAATTAATTACAGGGCAGCAGGGTGGTGCAGCGAATAGAGCTCTGGACTTGGAGACAGGAAGACCTGAGTTCAAATCCAATCTCAGACACTTAACATTTACTAGCTGTGTGACCCAGGGCAAGTCACTTAACCTCGATTGCCTAAGCCAAAAAAAAAAATTAATTACATGATAATAAGGGAGGTGTAAACAAAATGATCCATGAGACTCAAGAGCGGGCATCTCTAAAGGTAGAAAATAAAATTTCTTTTGATCCAGGGCAAAATCTGATTGTTGCCCCTCTGGCCTGAGCTCTGCAGGGTCCTGGCCTGGGTTTAGGTTGGAGCAAGAGCAAATCGCTTTCCTGGGCTCTGCCTCTATTAGCCAATTGGAAGGCTCTGTTGGCTCAGAGGGGCAGAATCGTAGGCTCTTTTTGGTCCAAGATTCCTGCCCTGGTTTTGTCCTCTGTGAGTTGGACTAGACAGTGGAAGTGAGACTCTGCTTTGCACCTGAGGCCCGAGCCACACCATTGCTGCTGCAGGCTTCTGAACTTCCTTTTTTCTCTATACACCACCCAGGGCTTCTCTACTTGAAAATGCCATGGTGGTGTGCAGGTCCTAGGTCCCCTGTCACTCTGCCCTGACACGGGACTGCAGAGTGGGTGACACAGCTTCCAGTGGACCCCTGTCTCTGTCACAGTACCCCAGGACAGGTGTGGGGGTGCCTGGGTATAGGTCTGAGACCTCTTGCCATGATGCACAGGCTTTCTTTGGGTATTGGAGTAGTCCACAGGCCTTATTTCCTGCTCCTTGCCAAACTCCTTCCCCACATCTCTCTGTTTGTTTCCGTATGCAATCTGGGCTGGACAGAAGATTCATTTTGACTTTGCTGGATTTCTCTATCTGCATTCAGTCTGTAAATAGATCTGTTAGGAGAAGTTCATGGAGAATGCCTCACTGCATTGCTTCTTATCACTCCGCCATCTTGGCTCTGCTACAATTTCTTTTAAAATGACAGTGGAATCTAAGAATATCTTTCTGGCTTACCCCAAACCTCCTAAATATGCATTCTCACTCTATGCTAGCCTTTTTGTTACCAGTTTATTGAGGGGCTGTAACAGATGGACTGGGGTCCAGCCAGCATTTAACACCTCTCAAAACTCCACCTGTTTTTCTAACCCTTAAAAATGCTTGGTTCATATACAACAAAATGTTAGTATATCCCCACTTATCAGAGGAGTAGAATGTGGTGTCACCTCTATTATCCTTTCTGTTTACTTAATCCTTAGCTAGCTTTCAAATCCTTCCTTTCCCCTTAAAACTTCCCTCACTATTGCAGTTGAAAGTTATCTCTTGTTCCTCCTAAATCTGAAGAGTTAGTATGTATGTTTGTACCAGGCAGCCAACCAAAAAGCATTTATTATGCTCCAAGCATGTGCTCACCATTGGAAATACAAATATAAAGAATGATACTATCCTTACTCTTAAATATCTTATATGCTTGATTGACAATACTCAGTTTCTCATTTATAATAACAGTGACAACTGATACAGAGGCAGTTAAGTGACACAATGGATAGAGCGATGGGCCTGGAAGGAAGTCCTGAGTTCAAATATGGCCTCAGACACTGACTAGCTATGTGATGCTATGCAAGTCATTTAACCTCTGTTTGCTTCAGTTTCCTCATCTGAAAAATGGGGGAAACAATAGCACCTATCTTCCTTAAAGTGCTATACAAATGCTATTATTATTATATTATATTATATTATATTATATTATATTATATTATATTATATTATATTATATTATATTATATTATATTATATTATATCATATTATATTATATTATATCATATTATATCATATTGTATCATATTGTATCATATTGTATCATATTGTATCATATTGTATCATATTGTATCATATTATATCATATTATATCATATTATATCATATTATATCATATTATATTATATTATATTATATTATATTATATTATATTATATTATATTATATTATATTATATTATATTATATTATATTATATTATATTATATTGTATTATATTGTATTATAGTATATCATAGTATATCATAGTATATCATAGTATATCATAGTATATCATATCATATCATATCATATCATATCATATCATATTATATTACATTATATTATATTATATTATATTATTATTATATTAATAATAGATTACAGATCTGTGGATTCCTGGGCCTTGCCATCTACTCTACTGCAGTACCCTTAGGACTTCTAAGTAGTGTCATTACAACCTGCAACTAGATTTTCTTTTCTGTCTTGTATCTCCCAAGTAAAGAAGCAGCAATAGTCTCAGTTTTTCTATTTGTGCTTAGTGCAAGTGCTCAGTATATAGTAAGTAATAAAGCTATAGATCTGCAGCTGTATATTTTGACTTCTAACAATAATAGGTACGTGCATGTCTTGTGTATATGTATATATATAGAGAGAGATTTAGATCTCCATAGATCTAGATATTTGTAGACATATAGATATCTATAAAGATAGAGATATTTATCTATGGATGTAGAGATAGAGATATTTGTGTAAATGTAGATATAGGTATCTATAGAGAGAGATCTAAAATATCTTTAGATATACACAAGACACACACATACACACACCTTCATTGTGTAGAAGAGGGAACTGAAATGCAAACAAGTTGAATGGTCTGCTTGAGAATATATCACTAGTAAGAGGTAGAGACAGGGCTAAAATTCAGGCCTGGTGATGCCCAAACCAGTGGACTTTCTAATATATCACGTGACCTCTACACTCATAGAATAAGAGAAGATTCATTCTGCATGACATTCAAGTTTTTTTTAAATATTTTAAAATAAATTTATTTATTTTTAGTTTTCAACATTCACTTCCATAAGATTTTTGAGTCCCAAGTTTTTTTCTCCATCTCTCCCCTTCCCCCATCTCAAGATGACATGCAAGTTTTTAAGAAAGACATTTCTTGTCCTACTTTTTAAGTACCAGTAGGACCACAGTTTTAAACCTGAAAGTCACCTTAGAATTGATTTTGTTCGACCCCCTTATTTTACGGATGAAAAAAATTTTGAGGCCAAGAAAGATTATATGTTCTGTGGTGCCGTAGTGTGTGCAGACCACTCAACCTTGAGTCAGGAATACCTGAGTTCAAATCCAGCCTCAGACACTTACTAGCTTTGTGATTCTGGGCAAGTCACTTAACCTTTGTTTGCCCCAGTTTTCTCATCTGTAAAATGAGGACAATAATAGCACCTCCTACCTCCCCGAATTGTCGTGAAGATCTAATAAGATAATAATCGTAAAGCATTTAACACAGTGCCTGGCACACAGTAGGTGCTATATAAGAGTTAGCTGTTCCTGTTAAGTGATTTGCCCAAGAGGCAGAGCTGGAATCTGAATCCAGGTCCTCTGGCCCTCAATCCAACATTCCTTCAAATAATCAAATATACAATGATCATAAGAATAATACCTTGAAATAGTCAAACACACAAACAATGATAATAATAATGATAATGACAATGACAGAACAAGAGGAAAGACAAAACCACAAACAAGATAAATTTTTGAAAAAAATAAAAGGGATTATAGGTGAGATTTGGTAAAGTGCACAGGTGGCTTAGGTTTTGTGTCCTAGGTCTTAGACTCCAATCTCACCTTTTCCACTCCGTACCTTTGTTCCCTTGAATAAGTCACTCTCTAGGGCTCAGTTTCCTTACCTGTAAAATGAAATTGAATTAAATAATCTGAAAGGTTCCTTAAAGCTCTAAATCTTTTCTTCTATAATTATAAATGTAGCTATAAAATTCTGTTATTTATAGAATTTTCTTGATGTGTAAATTAAGGTAAAATCAAAATTATTCTGTTGGTTTCTGCAACTTCTTTTTAATACCTTTCTGTATGTTTATCAAGCCTTTGTTTGTGTTATTATTGTCTTTGCCTAGCTGTTATTTTTTCGTAGTTGCATATTTTTCTTTTGGTTCTATTTTATTCACCCTGAATTAATTCATCTATTTCTATTTCTATTTCTTACATCCATATGCCATAATTTGTTCAGCCATTCCCCAATCTTTGGCCATTTAAGGTATGTATGAGTCTATGTGAGATATGTATGTCCTAAATGTATAGACGCAGCTCATGTGTGGCATGGATAGATAGGATCTGTGACTTCACATTCAGTGAAATAACCATGTGAGTTATGGCATTTTTGTTATGTATGTGATGAACTATATTAATAACTTCTCTGGTGTGGAATCCTTGCAATTCTGGTATGAATCCAACTTGGTCATATAATGAATAATTTTGGGGGAACATATGCTTGTAACTTCTTTGCTAGTGTTTTATTTGATTTTCCCATCAATATTCATTAGTGATATTGGTACATACCCTGAAAGGAGGGGAGGGTTCCCGCCTCCCCAACTCCTGCCTTCGTACTAGAGGACTTCAAAATATATACAATATTCCCTCACAACCCCCAACTTCCCAGGATGCTTTCCTTCCTCCCTCAATGCTTTCAGTGCCTGACTCATGCCACCAGACTTCAAAATACACACTGATATTCCTCCCCCCTAAAGAAAAAAAAGAAAAACAACTGCAGTTTTTCAATGTACTCATTCCCTATGATCTGATCCCTCGTTGCACTTCAGTTAAACAGATACGCTCATGCCTTTGATTTTACCATCATCCACAAGCGCTCCGTTTCCATGTTCGTGAAGGCTGAAATTCCTTTAGGGGCAGCTTGGTGCAATGGAGAGCTTCAAGTCTGGAGCACCTGAGTTCAAATCCAGCCTCACACACTTAGTAGCTATGTGACCCTAGTCAAGCAGATTAACCTCTGTTTGCTTTGGTTTCCTTAACTGTAAAATGGCAATAATAACAGCACTTATCTCAAAGGGTTGTTGTGAGAATGAAATGAGATCATATTTGTTAGGGAAAAAAACTGCTTAGTAGGGTGCCTGGCACACAGTAGGTGCTATGTATCTGATCATAATCTCTTGTAATTCCACTTTTCCCTTGGTATTGAAACTCATAACCTTGCTGTTTATCTTGACTGTGACCTCTAGTCACTCAATCCATCAGTTCTTTCCCAGCCATGATGCCATGTAATGGCCACACCATCCTCTATTCTCCAACTTGACCCTTTGGTCAACCAGTTCAGTTCTACACTGTCCTCTTGAGTTCCTTGCCACTTTATCCTATTGCCAATCTCACACAGCTAAGTCTCACTTTGCATTACTCTCACCATCCACTGTCTTCACTCCTATTCATATCCTGAATGAAAAAAAAATCCTAAAACCATGCTGAGTGGTTCCATTATAAATTTATGTTACAAAATCTCACCTGGGTCTTCAGTGAAGCATAGCAATCTTTCTGCATTTCTCTAATTGAGTCACTGTCCCACATACCACAGCGACTTTTACAAACCTTTTCATCCCTGCTCAAACCTCCCTTCTCATCTGAGAACCTCGCTTTGTATTTCACTGAAAAAACTGAAGGCATTTTCTGAGAGTATGCTCTTCTCCTCTCCTCCTCATCTTGAATCACTCAGATGCCTTCCACCATTTCCTCCTCCTTCATCTCCATTTCATATAAAGAGGCATCTGTCCTCCTTGCCAAGGAGGATGTGAACAAATTGTATCCTGTCTTCTCTAGCAGATTACCCCTTCCATCATCCTCACCCTCAACCTTATAAGCAATCTCTCTGTCTGCTAGCTGCTTCCCTACTGCCTACAAACATGCCTATGTCTCCCTCATCCTCAAAACACCCTCATTGGATCCATCCATCCTTGCTGTCATCCCATACCTCTCATGCCTTTTATGGCTAAACTTGAGAAGGCTGTCTCCAATGGATGCCATTCCTTCCTGGATGTGCATTCAGGAGAACCTGAGTTCAAATATAGCATTAGATACTTACTAGCTGTGTGACCCCAGGCAAGTCATTTAATCTGATTGACTCAGTTTCTCTATCTTTAGAAGAGAGATAATAAGATGAAATGAGATCATTATTCATAAAGTGCCTTAGAGGCTTTAAATGCCAAACAGAGGATCCACTGGAGTGTATTGAGTAGGGGGATGACGTGGTCAAACTTACACTTTAGGAAGGCAGCTGAGTGGAGGCTGCACTGGAGTGAGGAGAAACTTTTAGCAGACAGACTAACCAGCAGGCAGTTGCCATAATCCAGGCATGAGGAGATGAGGACCTGAACTTGGGTGGTGGCAATGTCACAGGAGAGAAGAAAGCATGTGTGAGAGACATTTAAAAAGTACAATCAACAGGCCTTGGCAACAGACTGGATAGGGAGGTGAGAGAAAATGAGGAGGTGAGGATGACACCCAGGTTGTGAGCCTGAGTGACTGGAAGGATGGTGGTACTCTCTGAGATAATAGGGAAGTTAGGAGGAAGGGGGAAATTAGAGGGAAAGATAATGAGTTATGGATACAGTGAGTTTAAGATGTCTATAGACATCCATTTTGAAATGTCCAATAGGCAACTAGAGATATCAAGTCTGATGGTCACCAGACAGATTAAGGCTGGACAAACAGATTAAAGAATCATCAGCACAGAGATGATAATGGAATTCATGGGAACTGATTAGATCACCAAGTGAAATAATATACAATATAGGGAGAAGAAAAGAGGTCCCAGGACAGAGCCCTGTGGGATATCCATCGGTAGTGAGCATGATCTGGAAGAAGATCCAGCAAAGGAACCTGAGAAGGAGTGGTCACATAGATAGGAAGAGAACCAGGAGAAAGTACTCTCTCTCTCTCTCTCTCTCTCTCTCTCTCTCTCTCTCTCTCTCTCTCTCTCTCTCTCTCTCTTTCTCTCTCTCTCTCTCTCTCCCTCTCCTCCCTCCCTCTCCCTCCTCCCTCCTCTCTCTCCTCTCTGTCTCTCTCCTCTCTCCTCTCCTCTCCTCTCCTTCCTCTCTCTCCTCTCCTCTCCTCTCTCTCCTTCCTCCTCTCCTCTCCTCTCCTCTCCTCTCTCTCTCTCCTCTCCTCTCTCTCTCCTCCTCTCCTCTCTCTCTCTCTCTCTCTCTCTCTCTCTCTCTCTCTCTGTCTCTGTCATACACACACACACACACACACACACACACACACACACACACACATACACACACACACAGAAGAGGGTGATCAATAATGTCAAAAGGCTACAGAGAGATCAAGAAGGATGAGAATTGAGAAATGGCCAGCAGATTTGGCAATTTAAAAAGCAAACAAGCATGTCTTTGAAAAGAGCAGTTTCGGAGGCAGCTAGGTGGCACAATGGGTAGAGCTCCAGCCTTGGAGCCAGGAGGACCTGAATTCAAATGTGGGCTTAGACACTTGACACTTACTAGCTGTGTGACCCTGGGCAAGTCACTTAACCCCAATTGCCTCACCAAAAAGCAAAAAAAAAAGCCATTTCAGTCTAATGATGAAGTCGGAAGCCAATCTGTAGAGAATTAAGAAGAGAATGAAAGGAGAGGAAGAGGAGGCATCTATTGTAGATGGCTTTCTTGAGGAGTTTAGCCGCAAAAGGAAGGAGAGCTGTGGGACAATAGTTAGTGAAGATCTAGTTACTAGGTATACAAAGACAAAATGGAAATGGTCCCTGCTTTTAATGAGCTTACCTTCCATTAGAGGAGACATGTGCTTATTATATATGTCCATATAAAATAAATATGTAAATTCAAGATGATATTTTGGAAGACAGTGGAGCACTAGCAGCTAGGGCTCAGGAAAGGAATTTCATGCAGAAGGTTATGCTGAAGCTAATCTTTGCTCCCCCCACCCCCCCACCCCTTGATGAGGCAATCAGGTTTAAGTGACTTGCCCAAGGTCACACAGCTAGTAAGTGACAAGTGTCTGAGGCCAGATTTGAACTCAAATCCTCCTGACTCCAGAGCCAATGCTCTATCCACTGTGCATCTAGCTGCCCCTGAAGCTGATCTTTGAAGGCCACTAAGGAGTTTCTCCTAATAGTCAATGGTCAGGCAGAAGGGCAATCCACTAAAGAGGAATAGTAAAAACACAAGAATGGAAATGGAGTGTTGAGGGTGAAGAAAAGTAAGACCATTTAAGCTAGATTATAAAGTGTATGAAAAAAGTTTAGAAAGATAGGTTAGATTCTGATTGTGAAATGCCTTTAAATGCCTTGCAGGCGATTTTTAAAAATTTGGTCTTAGAGGTAACAGGGTAACTGGAATGTATTCAGAAGTGGAGTGACGTGCTGTGGTTCAGGAAAATGGCATGGATGAGGAATTGGACAGGGGTAAGGCTTGAGGGAGAAGAATTAGGAGTCTATGGCAACAATCTACTGAAGAGCTGATGAGGGCCTTATCTAGGATAGAGATTGGGTTAGCAGAGAAACTGGAAAGATGGGAGTGAAAGTGTGGAGGTAGAAACAATAAAACTTAACAATTACCTGGATCAAGGTGTAAATAAGAGTTAAGAATCAAGGATAACTCTGAGAATATGAACCCTAGTGACTAGAAGGATAGTAATGCTCTCAATAAAAATAGGGCTCTTGAAGACAGGTGAGTTTGGAGGTAAAGGGTGAATTCCATTTTCAATATGTTTTGAGAGGGCTATGGAACATTCATGTTCAAAATGTCCGATAAGCAGTTAATGGTGCAAGGCTATTACTCAGAAAAGATACTAGGTCTGGAAATATAGATTTGGGAATTGTCTGCTTAGAAATGCTATTTAAACCCATGGGAGTAGATGAGCTTATTAA